GCGTGCGCCGTCTCAATAAACTCATCTGCCTCATTGATGACCTGGCGGCCGGCGGATTCTCCCCGGCCTACCATTCGGGTGACAGTTTGATTGATGATACTGTGAAGGCGCTGGAAAAAGATGCCGCCTTCATGAGCACCTTTGCCGATCGTGGCTTCCCCAGTCTGCTCAAGGTCTACTGTGTCGGACCGACACTGGTGTTTGCTAGCGGTCTCTGTCCGCCCCATTCAGAGGTACGCGCGCGCATAATTGTCGTCTTTGGTGTGTTTGCCTCTTAGCCCTTCCCACAGCCTTCCCAATTCAACCAATCTCTTTGTCTTCTGTTTCAGGGCAATGCTAATGGAGGCGAGCATTTGGTCCAATTGGCTGATTTTGCACAGCTGCTCAAGCGGGTATTTGATGAGCTACGGGCCCAGGCCAAACGTTCTGACGATTTCTATTACGTGGAAATCGGTAGGTCCAATTTTGAATATGATTACGCATCAATTGACTTACTTTTACTTGCTGCGGCTGTGATCATGACCGATCCAGCCGGCCTCAACGATGTTCCTTACAGTGTTTCTCCACGCGCCACGATCCGTGGCCTCAGACCTGGACAGTTCGAGCCATTCTCTTTGCCAGCGCCGGAGACCGAATACCGAAGCTCCAAGCACCACTTCCATGTCCTAACGGACTGAGTTGAGCCAGGTTTTGAGCTAACCCCCACTTCGACGTTTCCAACTACGTAACGGTTTCGGGCCGAGAGCAGTAACCCTGAGCTCGTGAAGTTGACAGCGATGAACGTGTCCAAACCACGTGAGTCGCCTTTCTTGGATTGCCTGGGATATCCTTGCAATGTTTTGCAGTGAGTGCGGACTGTCACATTGGAGACGAAGTTGGTGTACTTCACTCTAAGGATCGTCCTCGAGCAGTAGTAGTCAAAGACTTCCAGCTTCTGCTCATCTTCGAAGCACATTGCCTAACATTCTCATCCGTATAGAAAAACGGACCGCACAGATGCATGGTACATGCGGATCTTTGTGGAGATAGAAGTATCGCATCGCGTCCATAGGCACTTCCGAAAGCTGCAGAAAGTTCGTCGAGTTGCATCAATTCGGGAGAAAATGTCATCTTTACTCTTTCCATTCGGCAGCAGCTTCGCTGCGAGGTATTAGAAACTATCTACTTCTTCAATTTCAAAGCCATTAACCTCGAGGGGTGCCTTTTCTTGGGCAGGGCTGCAGCATGAAAACACTTTCGTTCACCCATGACACCATAGACTGTAGATCGCCAAAGCTTGAAGCTAGTTAGGCGATATCAAAGGCATATTTTCGAGGCCAGTCATCCAGCGCCCGGTTGCCAGCATCAAGCATCAATTGAGTCCGGTATACTGTAATTTGCTTAAACGTTTGACCCATTTGTCGCAATTTTTATTTTGTAGGATTTTCCCAGTACTCCTGGAGTGCATCTCCGAATTGCCCCTTCTTAGGATACTGATTGGCCAACACTGTGGATAAGACTTGCTAACACCCACCGACTAACGCAGTATACCGGCCCCCTCCGTCCTCTGAAGTAAATGTATAGGGTGTCCCAAAAGTATTTGCACTTTTAAAAAGTCAAATAGTGTGTTTAAATCTAAGCATTCAGCAATAGTGTGTATGTATTTCTCAACCTCACTGGTTGTTTATATTGTAACGGTAACTTCCGACTGTGTCATCGCTTGATTTCGTCCTTTGGAGTCCTCAAGGAAGAACGCAATAAGAAAGGCGTCACTTTGGAAGTCACTCGGGTGGCTGTTGCCGCTAGCGTAAAGCCATTGCGCTGAATGTCCCGTCTGCGGGCTAATCTCAGCAATGGGACGGACTGGCGCTGTCCTTGTCAGTCCATGTGCAACTCACTGTCTGTGATGTGACAGTGGCTTATCAGTGATTCTCAAGCGCATTCGCTTGTGGCATGACTGGGCGCGTTGGAATGGAGTCACCTGCTGTGTAGCGCACCTAAGTGGCCCTTGAGGGACCGTGACTAGTTGGGCTCGCGTGCATGTGTCTCCGATCAAGCCTTTACGGTCATCGCGTGGAGGCGGTCAGAGCGAAGGTACAAAGACATTGCGGCAGTCTGCACTGACAAAGTAATCATTG